GGTGCCAATATGTTGATCCCATAAAATGTGCCAACAGATATCGAGCCCACTTACGCCAAGTCAAGCACTATTCTAGCTTGTTCCTATCGAAGTAAAGACGGTAACAAGGAAGAAATGGACGCGGGAGGTGCTTCGAGGCGAAAGACAAAAATGTTCAAATTCCGGCAGGTGAAATGAAGGCGATCTCACTAACAATGATCACCAGGCAAAAACCAAGCAAATATTTATAGTAACAAATGGGAATATGTAGAAGGATAGATAAAATGTGTATTGGAGTTGCTATATTATATGTCAAGATTTGTTGTTCGATAAACTTGTAAAGAAGATGAAAAATATTTAACCAAGTGTTTTTTTGAACTTCTCCAGAGATCAAGTATATATTTCCAATATAAGATTGTCCAAGTGGAGAGTGTCAACTCCTTTCTTTGCTTCCTCAGGTAGTGCTTCAGCCTAAATTATAGTGCTTCGTCCTTGAGGCGGTGCCTCATAGACTTCGGCCTACAGTGTAAGGACTTGGGTTTTGTTTGATTTCTTCATATTTTGACATCCTGGGTCTTTCTTTGACTTTGTCATTGACTTTCTGCCTACGTGGCTAGCTACATGGCACTTTTACTTTGAGTATCGGAGGTGAGGCATAACAATATCCAAATTTTCATTCTTGTTAAGATTTCAAGTGCAAAAATATAGAAAAAGTAATAATAATTTAACAAGACTTCAACTTTTAGATTCTGTAACAAGAATATTACTTATGCATAGAATTGATGAACAACGAGACCTAGTTTCTTTATATGAGGGGGTTTTTTGGATCCTAGGTACAACTGCAGTATGTAAATGACTGAATTTTACATATTTGGACCATGGAATGACAACTTTATTTTCAAGATTAGTATATTAAAGACTAAATGTAGCTTGGGAAACTTTAAAATTTCAACAAACTTCACATTTGGTAGACTTTTCTAGAAGCTGAAAATGCTGCTAGTTAATTTGGGTGAAAAATATAAAAATGTTTAGACAGAGTTCATCATAAGTTGTAAGCTTTTTTCAATTTAGAAATGACATTCATAATACTAAGTAACATAAGAATGTAATGGAGAATCAGAGAAACAAATCGGAACTCTACCTTCTTTATTCCAAGAACTAAGACCATGAAGTACAAGAGTTACCTTATTCGGAGGAGACAACAACCTCTTCGAGTAAGTGAATTTGTTGCTCTCTCAACATAAGCACCACTAGTCAACGAGACTGTTAGGTTTTGATACCTAATAAATCTCAGATAATGATGTTAAACCGATGTTGGATAATTTATATTGACCCTTAGCGATAGCTCGACATAAAAACAACTTGGAGCTACTAAAAGCAACTTAATTAAGTTAATTTTGCTCGTGGACCAACACTCATGGATGACCCAAGTTATTGAGTTGGATGGTGATATTAGTTGGCCCATTTATTCTTAACATTAACCCTTTTGTTGGGAGCCTAATACTTTGGTTTTATGGGTGACTTGACTTGGCCCATATAAGTGACCTAATGTGACTTTGGCTTTATATATCCTCCATTTTTTCTGCAACCATGGGGTGTGTGCGCGCAATAGAGGAGAAATGGTGAGGTAGTCATTCTTGGTGGTTCGTTTAAGAGTTCAACCATTGCACCTCTTTTCTTCATCCCTTTGTAATATTACTACCACCATCTTCCTCCTTTGTGGTGTGAAAACTAGTGGCAACCAGAGTGTAAAAGTTGTGGGTTGGAGCCTCCTTCGGTTAGTGTTTGTTTGGTTGACTAAATTGAGTTTGGATGAAGAATACTCAAAGATTTGAACAACAAATGGCATCAGAGCATGTTGTGTTGAGAAATATGTGATCTTTAGGTGCCAAAATAGATTGAAAAGTGGCCAGAATCGAATGCAAAATTGGCAGAAAAACAAGAAGAAATCTAGAAATTTTGAAAATCATCTCTATTGGATAACACATTTTGAGTTGTGTTTTTCTAAAGAAAAAAATGTTATTTTTCAATTTGGTAAAACGAAAAGTTTTTATAAAACTTTTTATGCCAAATTTAGGTTTAAGACAAGTGCAAAAAATAAGGTTTTTTTAACTGTATTTTTGTAAACACGGTTGAAAAAGATTGTCCTAGGAAGGATAATAAAAGGAAGGATAATAAAAGGAAAGATAAGGAGAGAGGTGAGGTGAATGTAGCCACTTAGTTGAGTTATTACTTGAGTGAGGTTTATTGAGAATAAACATAGTTACTGTATATGCACATGTATGTAATCCTTTCTGCATATATGTGATTCTTTGATTCTGTTGCATGATTATATGTTACATTTCAATATGTTTGATATGTTCATTTGCATGAATTTGAGAGCGATCTTACTCTTTTGTATAATGTGTTTACATGCATAGTGGGTTGAGATCTATAGTGTACTCCTTTTCCTCTATGAGTCTTGTGACAGTGTGTGGTAGTGGGAAGAAAGAGATGCAGCCATTTTTTCCTTTATCTTCGTAAATATGGGGCGGCAATGTGAGGGTTGGCTTCTTTCTCTTTGTGGGCCTCTTCTATGAATGTAATGAAATAACCAACTCTTTCTTCTATTCTCTTTGTGAGTGCCATCTTCACCGTTCCCTTTATAGGATAAATTATTTGTGGACATTTTTTTAGCATTGGTGTCGAAGTAATCTTATAGTGCGTGGGTCATTTTAGATTTAGCTCTAATCTTTGTGGTCGCTAAAGGTGTTGATTTGCCATAGTAAATTTGTGATGCGTTAACGGTAAGTGTGAGGATGTTTATTGGTAATGAGGAGTATAGATTTCTGAGAGTACATTGGTGATATGTAGAGAGTATGATATTTGGATCAACAGTGGAGAAGTAAAATGTTGGAATCATTTATCAGTGAAAAACCTGATAAGGTAGAGTGTGAGAGAGACACTTCTATTGCTTCTATTAGGTGGAGACCCATTATCCACTTTATGTTGGGATAAGTGATGTGGAGAGAAAGGATTATCCCATGTACTTATGATCGATTTTGGTTTTCCAATTAGACATGTGTTTAGTGATCAGTCTAGTGAGCGATGAGATGAGATATGTTTTCTCTAGGTATGAGCAACATGGAATGAAATGTGATAAGTGTGGTGAGATCTTTTCGTGGGGTCATTTATGCATTTGTTGCCTATCTGTTGGCCACGTGTTTGATTAGCTTGGTAGTTGTTCTATGTGAATATGATTTTTAGAAAAAAAAATTGTGTGTTACCCTATGTTATATCTTCATCATATGTTTATTTACTTTGGATTGTTTGTTGTTATTATCTACTTCTATTTGAGAGTTTCTTGACCTTAGCCCTGGTAAGCATATGGAGCGGTATGTTATGTGTGTCGGGTTCGAAACATGAGATAAGGTTTATGATCCTAATTTTAATAATTACTTTGATTATGCAAGTATTAACTTTATGTTTTAAATGCTTGCAAGTTAATTGAGTATCAAGGTGGAGATTTTTTGGATTTTGATACCCAATAAATCCCGGACGATGATGTTAAACCGATGTTAGATAATTTATATCGACACCTTAGTAATGGCTTGACCCGACATCAACTTGGGGCCACTAGAAACAACTTAATTGAGTTAATGTTACTCGTGACCCAACACTTGTGGATCCCAAGTTATTGAGTTGGATTGTGATATTTGTTAGCATATTTATTCTTAACATTAGCCCTTTTGTTTAAGGCCTAAAACTTTGGTTATATGGGCCACTTGACTGGGTCTATATAAGTGACCTAATGTGACTTTGGCACAAATTATGGGCCTTAATGGCCCAAGGTCCTTTTTGGACCTAAACTCTTTCTGAAATCAAATTCAACTAACTATTTAATCTACGAAGGACGACTAGAACGACCTAACACATAAGATACCATATTTTTCACCACAAGAACGAGGCTAGCACGCAATTCAAATGCAATTAATACAAGAGATTGAAGATTTAAAGTTCAGGTTGAAAATTAACGAAAAAGAAATTGATTTTTTACTTTCCAATCATTATTTTCAATTTCGGGTGATGTTATTCCAAAATTTTTTGTGTAATTTATATAGAAAAATGTTAGGCTAAATATTTTCATTTATTTGATAAAGACGAAACATTTTATATTTTATTTTTAATTCAAGACAAGTAGTTAACATAACAATATGCTAGGATAATTCTTTTCATGTATTGGATGAAGATGAAACATTTTATAATTCATTTTTAATTCAAGACAAGTAGTTAGTTAAATTCATGCGTTTCTTGATTAATCTTGCATACTTGATTTTATTATTTGATTGTCTGATCACCAAATAAATATATAATTGCTTGTTGTGGTGTTGGAAGGCTCACAATAGATCTAAAACACTACTTGATTAATATACTCGCAATAGATATTATGAATAATATTTATCATGCGTACAATCATTGAGATAATCGCGAAATTGAATGCATTCTATTCATTCGAATTCAGGCTAAGAAGAGATTCAGGTTGTGACTAGAATGGATTTCATTTGTGTTTAAAAAGAGAATTAATTATAATAGATTTATCGATTGTCAATAATGTATGAATGAAACAAACTATGTATATATATATA